TACGGAGATGTTTAAACCCCAAAATTTTTCATAATTTTTTTTTCTCACCTCCAAATTGGCTATTAGTCCACCAATTTTGTGCGTTTCAAACCTGTTTTATTTTGCTTCTTTGTCTAATTGCCACCACACTGGAAATAAAATGCGACCATCATAACGATGAATCCTGACGTCAATCACAATCCGAATCGTTTCAGTGCTCCAGCTCAACAATGACTGTTTCTGCTCATCGATTACCAGTTGCCAAATCAAAAGTTCTTTTTAGAAATTTAGATGAAATCATTGGACACATTCTATGTTCACAAAATGTTCACTTTTTAATTGTCACCATGAACACTGCAAGAGCGCATAACAAAATACAGTACTCTAGTCAGAATCATTAATTCAGCCATTGCAGTTCAAAGAATGCTAATTTAGCATTTATAATTTTACTAAATTATTTGAAATTTTTCACCATGACAGGAAAAATATTAATCTAATTAATGCACCATTTAAAAACATTACAGTAACTGTTGCGCAACCATGGTGGTAACCCGTAACTACCACTGTTAGAGGTAGATCAACAGAAAAGAATGAATGCATAGAAGATAAAGCAACTGTAAGTTTTGTCGCGAAATTTTTCAGATTTCCTAAAAGCTGTAAGTAAATTCTAAAGCAATCATGACAGTAAAAATAAGCAGTAGTGATTTACCAAATACGATTAATTTTGACTGCTTTAAGTGTGTATACTGAAGTACAGAACTTAGTTAAAACTGGTATGCTATACGCTAAAAAATAGTGTATATCAAAATAATATGTATTAAAAAATGAAAATAATAAGAAAAAAAAAAGTAGTAAAAGCAGTAATGACCATAAACAGTACAAGCTATTGCTGCCTTCAATAAATTTTAAAAAATCAAAAAAAAAAGAACAGAAAACAAGTGAAGACAAAAGATTATCTAAAGTAACGTAAGTTGTTGTAAAACTTGACCGAAAAACCAAGTTCTTGTAGCTGCTGGCTGTACCGGTCCTGCGGAAACCACTTAACTTCTTCTCTACGCCGACGTCACCTCCTGCGATATCCTGAAGATCCGGTAAAGCAAACGCGTAAATTGTTATATTGGCAAGCCGCCAGCAACCTCATTATTTCATTATGACATCATTGAATGTTAATTCAAATTAGCAGCATATTTCTTGAGTTTTGAGCGGAGAATTGTACGAGTTGGGCAAGTTGCCAACCATATTGAAATTCTCACTGACTGCAATGCAGTATATTTGGTGGTTGCGTTGCTGGTCCTTATTTCCTCAGCATCTCTATTCATCTTGGATTTGTTGCATTTAATTGATGTGCATATGAGGGAGTTTTTTGGAGGAGCAAGAAAGCTCTTATAAAGTTTGCTCAATAAAGATAAGGCGTTGGGAGAATTTTTATGCTTGACGTGTACACGAGCAACATATTCTTGAGAATAAGGTTTTTGCCGTTTTGTAGAAGTGGAACACTCGTCTAAATAAAATGTCTACGTTGGAAAGTGCTAGAAATGAAAAGGAAAGAACTTATTTTTGTTGGAAAGTTTAATTGGAGTTGTTTTATGCGAAACCAGGTGCACTGGAGGTGATAAATGTTAGCGAGTTATTTCAGCTTAATAGATTTTTTTTTATGTAGCCATATGCGTCGTACTTTAACACCAACTTTTTCCCCTTCTTGTAAAAGCTTATAGTTTTTGTACATCTTCGTGTGTGTGTGTTTTTTTATTGTTTTTAAGTATTTATTACCTTCAAAAAATCATATTTTTGTGCATTAATGTTAGAATTTTTATCCATGTTCGCTTCCTTATGCCAGTGATGATTTTCATTAAGTGAAATTAGGTTTCGACCATACCCTGATGAGTTATAAATGGAAAATTTTTATTTTTATTTATTCACTTTTTTATTTTTTTGGGTAAACATAATGTTGTGGTGAGATTCAAAGCACATATTTTGCGGAAGTTTTTGACCGTCATTAATGGTAGCGACAGTGTATTAGGACGACCGAATGAAAGACAGTTTTAGGCTTTTTATTTGTGCCATCGTTGTCTGTACAGTATTCTTTTAGTGAAGGCGTAAGACAATTTTTAGTTTCCACATTTTAACAAAAATATAAACAAAAAAATTTTTTTTTGGAGTTCAAGGATCTCATCATCGTCGGCGATTTGTTGTTTGTGGTTTTTTTCTTTTCATTAGTTTATTCCACATACCTTTCGCATTCCACATACATTTTATTTTTTGATGTTCTGAAATTATTAACTTCCTGATCTCTGATTATATTTCTACTTTTATGCTATACCGTTTTATCTTTCGCTTTTTTTTGTTAAAGTGTTGTCATTTAGTTGTTGCAGAATTTCAAGAACTTCCAAAGTACTATAGAGGAGAATGAAAGAAAAAAGAGCTAATCTGGTGTGAACATTTTTGTCTGTGGTAGTGGGTGAAGTTATGGCAGTAACAGTTCGGTCAAAAAAAGGGAATTTATGAGTACATCTTTCATTCATTGAGTCACAGTTTTTTGCAAAGTTTTATGCCTATAATTTTTTTATTTCGCAACTGTTTCAAAACACTGAATTTGTGCTCTTTATCAGGGACATTTTCATACCATAGTATTACTTAACGAATTGTATTCTACTTTTTTGAGTAATGTGGTCCACAATTTCCCCTTGTTATGGTAGCAGAAACCCGAGCTGCGAACAAAAGACCTTTTTTAAATGGTTGAAATAATTTTTCTTATTAACTGTTCGTGAATATTTGTAAGCTCTGGGGGGGTATGCTTATTGTTCACTGGATGTGGTGCAGCGGTTTTTAGAATGAGATAGAAATTTAGAAAGTGGATTTTTGCATATTTTTAGAAACTAAGTCAATTGTTTTAGTCAGTTGTTGCTTTTTGCAATTTTTTTTTTCGATTACGTGAAATTTTACTTATCGGTTTAATCTGCGGAGAATTTTAAAGCAGAATAATGTCAAGTAACGATTATATTCCTGGTGCTCTTACGTCTCTTCTGGGATTGGGAGAAGTGCCGAAGAAGAGTAAGAGAGATAAGAGGAATATCCCAGAAGCCGATGCTGAAGAATCAGTGGCTTCCGCTCTGTTTGAAAAGAGTACTTCAAGTAACAAAGTAGCTACCTTTTGTAGGTACATTTCGTCAATAAATAAGCATTAAAATTTTGTTCTTCGCTTCTTGTCTTAAGCTTTTTCCTTCAAGGAATGGTAGAAGGCAGAAGAACTTACTGATGTAGATAGTGTGAAATTTTCTTCGTTTTGCAAATCTCGGCTTATTTTATAGCTTTTTTAATTTTTTGTTATTATGCCACTGATTATGGTGTGTAAAAAACTTATTTTTTTGTCTTGGTTTTTGTCGTTTAGAAACTACAGCTGCCGGTTGGAAAACCGTATATATTGCCTAAAGCTGAAGAAGTGATCGGAACTTCTGTAGCAGGATCTACGGCCAATGGAGTGAGCCAAAGAGATCGTTTAAGGGGGCAAGAATTACTTTTTGTATACGTTATTACAGCTTAATTTTGTAGTCTACACCTTTTGAGAGAAGAAGTTTATTGTAGACCTGTTTATTTTTTATGATTAGAGGTTCTTTTACAAATTTTACCTACTTTTTTTTTTTTCTAAATGTATTTTTCAGGAAAAGGAGCAAACAACAAAGATCTCCAGACGAATTGGCACGGACGATCTTTGTCGGCAATGTGCCGGTGTCGACTTCGAAGAGGGATCTTAGAAAATTTTTTTCTAAATTTGGTATTGTAGAGGCAGTACGTCAAAGGTGCATTATTCCTTCAAATGGGAAGACTTCGAAGAAGGTGATGCAAACCCCGGAAAATTTGTGTATTTGTTGCTTTTTGGCTGTTTCTCCTACTGTGTTCCTTTTTTTACAGGTTGCCGCTATGAAAAAAGAATTTTCTTCAAACGTACGGTCACTTGTCTTTTATGTGAAGTTCAAAAATCAGGAATCTGTGGTTGAAGCTGTTAAAGCGTACGCTCTTTTTAAGCTTGCTATATTTATGCTGTAAATTTATAAAGTTGTTTCAAAAGTTTATAACTTTCAGGAACGGAGAGAAATTTGGTCCTAACTCCTTGAGAGTCGACTACTGTGATGGGAAGAAGGAGTATTCATCGCAGTCAACTGTCTTCATAAGCAACCTGCCTTCTCTTGTTAGTGAAGACGACTTGTCAGAGTTCTTTACTATGGTAACGATCCCACAGTTATTGCCATTATCGTTCAACCTTATTTTGTGGTGGCCATTGCTTTTTTTTGGCGTCACTTCAAACTTCATAATTTGTTAAAACAAAGAATTCTAGACTTTGAATGAAATAAGGCCGTCGCGAATCATTTTCAGGCCGGAGAAGTATCCTTTGTACGGGTTGTGCGTGATCGTGGCAGTGGTTTGGGAAAAGGCTTTGGTTTTGTCGGCTTTAAAGATACTTCTTCAGTTCCAGTTGCATTAAAACTGGACGGCTCTGTATTTCAACAGCGAAACATTAGTGTTAAAAATATTGAGAAGAAAAAGGTATGTATATGAGAGGTTTTCTTCCCAAATTTTTTTGTTATCCGATATAAGAATATTTCATTTTCTTTCTACATCTGAACAGGTGTTCTTGAAGATTTATCAAAGAACGGTTTACTTGACTAGTAGTCTAAAACTGGTATTTGTTTTAAAAGTGTCCAACTTCTAGAAGAAGATTTTAAACTCACACAATCCTCAGGCTTCATAAAGACTGAAGTTTTTTCAAAAGCCTTAGTTAGTGGAAGAAAAATAAGCAAATGTTTTTTAGTTTCACTAGCCCTTATACTTCTTCAGTCTCTGTTCAGGCAGGACTGTTGATAGTTCTCTCTTCTTATCTTTAGTTTGTATGTAGGCTGGAGGAAAGCATTTTTGAAGGAGAAGATGACAGAAAGACGGCGGCAACTCTTTTAGTCTCTACTGTTCCTTTCATTTCAACTTTATTGAACTTGTTTTGTTGGGTGGTCTTGTTGCTGTCTTGTTGCTGTTAACGCTTCAGAAGTTCTTGGCTTTTTCATCTGCACGTGTTCAAGTTTTTAACTGTTTCTTTTTGCAGCAGTTAAGGAAAAGACTTGAAAATCCGAGTTGTTCAAAAAAGAAAGCCCAAAGTACAATAAAGGTAATTGGTAAGAAGGTTTTGTCGAATAAACATTCACTGTTCTCTGCGGACGACAACGATAAGAGTAACAAATTGACGAAGAAAGTTAGGAAGATAATTATGAAAAGAAATAAGAAAGCTAAAAATTCGATTATGACTTAATAATTGCTTTACTTTTTTTGTTGTTGTTGCTGTTTCGTGAATGTTATTAGAGCAAGTTTTTTAAAGGTTCAATTGGAGTTCCTGTAGAAACGGTTTTTGGTTTATAGACTTGTTGCAAACATAGTAATTTTTTTGTCAACCAGTTGCTTTATGTACATGTTCTGTATTCCTTAATTTACTTGTGAGTGGTGAGCTCCTTGTTGCTTTATTTTGTTTCCTTGTTACCTTTCGTCTTTTTCTTTTTTGTTGTTGTTGTTTTGGTTGATATCTTATTTTGGGGGTTAGTGAATTAAATTTCTGAAGTATTTTTTCGCGAAGTTGTATTACCGGTTTGTTAGCTTTTCAAGGCAAATAAATTGGCATTTTTGAGCTTCTTTCTCAATGCGTATTGTATTAAAGTGTGTGTAGTCATAGTAGAGGTAGTAAATTCTGTACTTTGTTTGCTTTCGTTACGAGTGTTATATCCTTTCGATTTGTTGTGCCTTTTTCCTCTTTTTTTTTTTGCAACGATTTTTCCTCACTCATCTAATGAGGAGATGCGTGATTAGCAGCAATCAGATACACTCGCTTTAGTGACAGATGCGATTGTTTCTCCGATGGTCAATAAGAGTATTGACTAGTTTAGCTAAATCACGGTTTTCTGGAGGCTTTTTTTTTGTTTGACCAAACTGGTCACTTGGACTTAATGTTATTTTCATTATTTGCAGTCTTCGTTGATGTGGTTGCTCAACTGCTGCTTCTCAAATGAAGTTCGCTAATTTTTTGTTGGGACGGGTTAGACATTGCTGGTCTGTGAGGAAGAGAGGATGAGAAAAGTCAGCTGAGCTTTGAAGTTATGAGTGAAGTGGTTTTGTTTGTTATTACGGGATTCTATATTGCGGAAGAGAAGTTGGCGAGAAGTGACGATTTTTGAAAGTTTTTATGTCTATGAGATGCGCAGTGATTTTGGACAATGAAATGTTGGGATTACATTTGTTCATTTAGCGGTGCAGATAGATAAAGAAAAGTATTTGAAGGGCCTGCTTTGAGATGTTTGTGTGCAGCTGTTAAAGTAGAAAATATTTTCAGTTATTTTGAGAAAAAAAAGAAAAGAAAGAAGGAGGAGGAGAAGGTTGTTTGGATTTTAAGTTTAAATGTGGCTTATCAGGTCAGCAATGAAATCATTAAGCGTAAATTCATTGTAAATTATAAAGGATCTTGAGTTTTTGGTTTTTTGAGGCGCTTGGAATGCGTATGCGTTTTTCATTTGTTGTCGTTAATTGCAACAACAAAACGCTTGACGTGATTGTTGCATTTGTGGAAGAAGGGATTTCTCTGAATAGTTTAGTGTGTAATCATTCTAGTCGAATAACTTTATGCCACCTGCCGAAAAGGAAGAGGTCATAACGAATCGAGCGTCTTCAATCTTATTGAGCAGTATTACATCGCTAAACAGTTAATAGCTAAGTTTTTGTAGATTTAGACGGTACCAAGTACAATGATATATCCATTCTGAAAGATTATTTCTCTTGATTTCTTCTCTATTGTCTTAATTTCTGCTCATTTTATATTCTCGTTAAAAATGTTTCTACTGTTTTAAAAGAAGTGATGTGTAGTGTAATTTGTGCTATTATATGTAATTAAAATTTTTTGCTAAATGAGGGTGTGATTGAAAAAATTATTACAAACAAAGGTTTATGAAATGTTTCAGGAACCAAAGCAATCAAATAATTTGTTGAGACACACACAGGTTTAATGGGTAGAGATTAGACAGATGATAAAATTTACCGATTAGTCTAATATTCAAATTTTGTGATGTAATGCAAAAAAAAAAA